GCCCCATGACTGATATTACATAGGTACATCCAGGAATCACCTGAAAGATGTTTAGTCATCTCACCGTAGGCTACTGATAGATCAGTTTGAATTTCCAAACTTTCTGCGAGTTCCTGCCCTATGTGAAAATATCTTTCATTGTGAAATTCTGCAAGTTCCTTGCCAGTTTCTTGACACTTTGGTTGAAAGTGTTCATGTTTCATCCAGATAAGTGGGATTCTACTGGAAGGAATCATGCTCAACCATGAGTGATAACTTATGATGACTCTAGGAGTTATTTTCCTTCTGAATGCCAGTGCAGCTTCTAGATCCGAGGAAAAGAAACTTGTTAAATCCACAAGATCATTTTCTTTTAGCTTTTCTTTGTGCCTTTGGATGTCTGTCAGCATCAGAAAGTTCCAGTCTATTTTTAATCAAGATGGCCATGATTTCTGAACACAGTTATTGAATACAAAGTTAGAGCAAATAGTTGAAGAGATTTAGGGATACTTTGAGGTAACAACACACATAAGGTCCAGAAGGAAGGTGAGCATAAAGTCTTTGTTCAAGTGCAGTCATCATGCCTCTGAAACCTGAAGCATTATTATATGATACAGATAAAAGCTATATTATTAATGGCTTGGTTGAGCTGCTATATTTGATCGGCCCCAAGACTTCTTTCATGTATTTGGCACTGATTATACAGAAAGATACTACTGGCTAATACTATTGTTAAAAAAATGAAATTCCTTACAATATTTTTCAAAAGTGTTTTTTTTCTCATTGTCTGCCTTTGTGATTTTTTTCAGTAAGATTGGAGATTGAGACCAGGTATTATGAAGCCTGGTGAAAATTAATTCACTTACTTAAGAAGTTGTAATGTTCAGCATTAAAAAGTACACCAAGCACATTATGCACAAAAAAGCAATGAAAGGTTAACTATGCACAGGGAAACAGAAGATGCTGCTGTTCCTTGAATTTAAACAGTCTGCATATTTGCAAGTTCCAGCTTTAAGAGACCATTGATTCTTAAAGCCTGAAAGAATCAGTAGATTCTTAAATCCAGAAAGACTTTAACACTGCAAACACTTAATGATCTATGTAGCATTCACTGAGAAAACTAAATATACTTTTAAAAGTATAACGGACAGAACAACTGAGTTACGCCTGCATTTACTAGTAGTAAAGTCATATTTTTATTATATGTTTTATGATATTCCCTATGAACACTAGAACAAATATTTGTAAATTATGGATGTATCAGAGTAAAAGAGCAATGTTTTCTCCAATCCTCTTCTATTGCTATGATTTAGAAGAAAGTCTTGTCAACAAGGGAGGCAAACCTAACTAACATCTGCCAGCTAATATCTCAGGAGACATGATCCAGGGTTACTGCAGTACCTAATTTGTAAGTGTCGCATAGAGCATTTTTTGCCTTATGGCAAATATAATCATGTCCTGTGTATTTTGGGATTTCTAACATGAGTGAGACCGCCTAATCTGCTATCAGGCCATCTGGCAAGCACAGGGATGAGCAGCATAACTATAAGGACCAATGTCTGTATTAATTTGTTTTCTGGGACACAACTTTTTTTACTTTAGTTTTTTTCCAGAATATAACATCCCCCACTTTTTCTAATGTATAGTGCATACAAAAACTCAGAGAAAAGGGACTATATTATAAAATTAGGGTTTCTACATTTTAAAACAATGTTTAATGTTTGTTTTTAGCATTTCTTATTTACTGAGCGATTTCACATTTTTGAATTATATTTATTGTACATTAATTTTGGAAGCCCCATTTTGTGGGTGAAAGGTTTAGTGCAAAGCAAAGCAAAAGTAAAAATATTAGAGTGGAAAAGCAGGCAAATGGCAGCTAAATGCAACCCTCAAGAGAATTCTTTAAGGCTTCAAAACATACCCTTAATAAGACAAAGGCAAAGAGATTATCTGCTTTCCCTCTTTCAGTATAAACAGAGAGATTGTCAAAGTCCTCCCTTTTACAAAAAAAGTATCTAAATACAGGGCTACAATGGAGTCAAGGTGCAAGCTAAACTACCTGTTATGCCAAATTACACATGTGAAAATTGTGAGCATGCACTTCTTTCCCAAAATCATGAAAATGCTTGATTTTCAACAGAGAAGCATGATGGCTGAGAGCCATTTTCTGTTACCATTTTCCCACCTCGCCTGCTACCTCTGATATTTTAGAGATGTTTTTGAAAAAAAAGAGGAAAAAGCAGCAGGTGGGGGAAAGATTAAGTCCAGTTGCTTTCCAAAAGCTGCATTTTCAGCACAGAGGTGGGCTGTTGTGTTTTCTTTACAACTGATTACATGTACTGTGCAGTTTCAGACTGACAGGGCCTCTGTTGCTATCCTTATTGGGAAAGGCAGGAGGAACTTAAAAGAGATTTTTGATTTCTCTGTAGGAGTAAGTAAGTGGAATATACAACTAGAAGACTTTTTGAAACCCCAATTATCATTCTCACCAAAGAGGAGAAGATGAAAGAGCCTTTATTTACTACTGGTTTTAGGTGGAAATAAGCCACTGAGTACAGTTAGAGTTACTGGCCATTCATAAAATAAAGATGGATTTTTAAAAGGTGAATGGGTACTACAAAGTTTACCATCATGCAGAAACTGATGGACATGGTTACTGCCATGGAATCCGTGACTTCTGCAAGTGTTTTATTATAGCCATATCAAAAGCCCTCTCTTTATCTGGAAGCAATGGAATAAGCACTAAGATGCCATCCCATAAGTAACAGTGACATGTCGCGATACAAGCTTGTAGGCTGGAGATTCTAGTGCCTAAAGCTGCAGATCAATAAAACAGACTCTCAAATATATCAAGTCTGTCATTGGTCCTGTGGTATTCAATGAGAATCATTTCCTCCTTTATGTTGACAGGCTTCTACAACTATGGAATTTGGCAGTTAATGTATGAACAAGGATGCTGATCCTTTCTATTTGGTTCTATAAAGGTGTTCAAGACACCTGGATGGTGGGAGATGAGAGCAGGCTTTTCCCAGGACTACTTGAGGAATTGTAGCAGGGCTGATAGTAGTGAAATGGCTGTAGGTGTGGGAATCATAAGTATTCACTTGCTGAACAACTGAACAATTGTTTTTTGCACTTTGCAGTACTTCATCAGTAAGTACCTTAACATCTTTAGGCAGGGAGGCAAGTGTAGTGCCATCTGCTGCAATTGAGAGTGAAAACATTTGAGGTGAAGGAGATTCATGAGAAGATGGCTCTGAATCATAGTTGACACTGGGGAAATCTGAACTCCGCCTTGGCAAATACTAAGTGCTTCTAGTGACATCAGTATTCATGTAGATAGTGCTGCTGGAGCCAGTACTGAGAGAGTAGAATTAGTGGTTAATGGTCCAAGGTGGAGGTTGGATCTGGACAAACATAATGTGCCCCGCGATGGAAACAGAATGCAAAGAGAAGACTGAATGCCAAAGGAATCAAGTCCAAATGGATCAAAGAAGTTAAAAAGAGCTGCTGAAGACACAACAGTAACTGATGGTGAAAACTGCAGACATCTTGAAACTGTTACAGTGGTTCATGGTAACAGAAATGGGGGATAGCTTGATCCTGGTAATCTCTTTCTGTATGGAATCAGTGACTGTCAAGGAGAGTGATACTTGGGTGATCTAAAGTGAGTTTGACTTTTGTACCAAGATGGAAGGTGGTCTTTCTGAGTCCAAGGAGCCAGAGGTTGGGGCAGAGGAGGCTCCTGCTTCCCAGCAGGGGGCTAAAGTTACCATAGAACCATTAGGACTGTGTCACACTCCCAATAGTTATTAATTAGGTAGCTAATGTCTATAGATAGCTTCCTATAAATCTACCAGCCCCTCCTTGGCAGCTTTGTTGCTTTCAGCTCCTTTTTTGATGCCTAGCAGTATTCCGGTGTTTCTGTTTTCCTGGCCTCGGATGGGATAAGATGTTCTACTCTGTTTTAGGTATTGCTGGCTTTGTTTATTTGGACTACTGACTTCTTGAACAACTGGACTGGTTGACAACTACTCTATTCCTTCTTCCTGATAGATAGCCTATGACTGACCTGGACTGAATTAATTCCTTGATAAGTCTTGTAACCAAAATTAGTAACCAAATCTCCAGCTTCTAATGATAGAGACACATTTGAGTAAGGTATGTGTATGCCATAGCGATTTGGATCAGTTTTGACTGTACCAAGCATAGTCAAGAGAATACAAAACTAAATGGCCATCAATCTTATGAAATTTGTATTGTTTAGAAGAAGAGCCATAATCGATAATGCCTCCTTAGTTACTTGCAAGGTTTTTTCCAAAGATTAAGATTCAGTCTTGAGACCTGGTTCTGAAGAGCTTACAAGGTTAATCTCCAACAAATAGTGCAAATTGTGAATCTTCTCCAGACAAAATAAAAACTCCTTGTGGGTGTCAGAGAACTCTGTCACCTTGCACCCGCAGGTGACAGAGTTTAAACAAAGATGAAGAAGAGGGGAGGTGGGATAGAAACTGATCTATACAAAAGTTATAATAAAAGTTAGCAAGAAATTAAGATACTAAAAGAAAGATAAAGAATAATGAATAAGAGTACAATGTAAGCTACTCAGCAAGCAACAGGAACAAGCAATATGCACTATATGGATGGAGGAGAAAGAGTTCCTACCAAACATCTCAGCTTTAGAGATTTTCAAATGTGGCCTCTGTACAGGCACAGAACCTATTTGGTGAGGTACAGAGATGAGGAAGAAATAGTAATGCTCCTTTTTCAATTTCCCAGTTGCCCACTCACATGTCTTCACCATTCCATCTTTCATTTGATTGCTGTAACTAAACTTTGCAACCACCTCCATTCCTTCTTCTGCTGTAATATTTCTGAACTCTTTGGGGAACTCTGAACATATCTTTTCTAAGGAAAAACTAAAGAAACATATTGCATATTTCCAGAAAACATCTAAACTGTTGCTAACCCACTTAAAAGTTCTTGTTCTATTATAGTTCAAAATTACTGGTAAGTACTACCATGATCTTTTAAATTGCGAAGAATCACGGCTGGAAGGCTATGTGATTTCCATCCTGTTACTAAGGAGTCCTCTATGTTCTTAACGTTGGCCCTGAACATGAGTGAAGGTGCTTTCAGAAGCAGATCAAAAGGCAGCAAAGCTGAAGAATAAAAGAAGAAACTGCATGTAAAATTATAGCAAACTTTAAATAATATTAGAAATGGCAAGTTGAATTCCATTCTGATCTAGTTGCAGAATTACCTGGTCTGGGTCTGGATCCTGGGATACCAAAATAATCTCTGTTAAAAAAAGAAATAGAACAAAACACCAAAGTTTATTGATAGATCTTTCAAAAAGAATGCAAGAAAAAATCAATCTGCAGTAGACTCCCAGTTAACCAGAACTCTCAGCAACCAGCAAAACAATCAAAGAAATAATACTTTATTGTCTTTTTTTAAAAAAAACACCTGTTTTTATAAAACGGTAAAAGAGTAAAACTGTGTTACTTTAAAATTGTCTTTAGTTGCTTTATTTGCTTTCAATTACTGTATTTCAAGATTAGGAGTCCCTGGTGGTGCAATGGGTTAAACCCTTGTGCTGACAGGAGTGGTGACTGACAGGTCAATGGTTCGAATCCAGGGAGAGCTCCAGCTCTCCATGTGGGACATGAGAGAAGTCTTCCACAAGGATGGCAAAGCATCCAAATATCTGGGCATCCCTTGGGCAACATCTTGCAGATGACCAATTTTCTCACACCAGAAGTGACTTGCAATTTCTCAAGTCACTCCTGACATGAATATATATATATATATATATATATATATATATATATATATATATCAAGACAATACGGAGTTTATGGTATGGCATAGTATCAGGCCTATTTTAATAGTAATTCACAAGCAATCAAAAACTACATTTATCCAGTATCCACCAATCTCCAGAAGTGCTGGTTAACCAAGAGTCTATTGTATTATTCTGGAATTTATCAGCACCTAAGAACCCTGTCAATACCACCTTAAATTTTATCACAGAAGAAAATTGGGGCTTGAAAGTAACAAACATTTATGTATGTAATATTTATTTACCTAGACGGAACTATTCAAGTTCACAATGACAGAAACTGCCATATGGGTACTGCTATTAAAAATAGGTATTTGTGTCATATAACATTGCAAGTAGACCTTACATTTCAATAGTCTTGCCTACCAAATATTTTTTAAAGGTGTTAAGTGTTACTTACAATTGCTACCAATAAATTCTATTATAATAGCCGAAATGATACATTATGTTGTATTCTTATAACATTCATTAACTAAGAAGTGCTATTCTGCTCATTTCTATGCTTGGGGGGGGGGGGGAGAGAGAGAACAGGTAACAAAATATACCAACATGTGAAGAGTTGCATACTATGTTCCAGAGATTACATGGCCATGTACAATTTTTTTCCCAACCAAGAAGAAATGCTGGGAAAAGGAAGGGAGGCTGCTACAACAAACTTTTTTGTTAAGGGCAAAAACAACGATTTGTTGGGAAATTGTTACATTTCAGTCAATGCCATGAACTAGGTCATAAAATATTTATGATTTCCAGAGTTTAATTAGAAGTGATTTATTTATGAACCAGGATGTTCAGAAGCAAAAGTGACACATGCCAATTGTCAGCAGATAGGCTAAAAAATGTGTTCACAAAACACAAAATATGTAAAGTTAACCTGTTTTCTAACCTAAGCCCGATTCTCAACATTCTGGATTTTCCATGGAGTCAGAAAACACTACATATTTCACTCCATGCATGTTTGTTTTGTATTTACCTGGATACGAATTAAAGTGCAAGTTTTTAATGTGAAAGTCTTGAAAGTATTTAACAATTTGAACATTTTAAAGTTGTCATATATTGCACAGTCATAGTTTGGGAGAAATGAAATGTAAAGGTGTCAAGACATTTTACATCTTTAATTTTACATTTCAAACCTGCCTTGCTTGAGGCTGTCTTTCCAAAGCACTGAAGCTTCGTTTTATCATACCTGCAACAAAAGCACAATAGGTATTATTCTTAGTGCTGAAAATATTTTAGATGGCTGAGATAGATTCAGTCATCCAACATTTTTGTCTTATCACAGCACCTCTGAAAATATACTGAAAATAAAAAGAGCTCTAAATTTAAAATTTATCAAGATATACATAGTATATAATTTTATACACTGTGAATCAAAATGTCATATTGCGGAGAGACTTGAAAACTGGAAGAATATTTTTCTAGCTTGTCATATGTCAAAGGTGAGGAGCAGGATTAACCCTGGTGGTTGCATTATTCCCCAGAACCAATTGCACAGGTTGGATGACATTGGAAGCAAGTTCTCCCGTCCCAACACCTTGGCTCCAATATTAACCATGCAATTTTCCTTTCTGTGTGCAGTGAGAGACATGGTGTCTTGTGCCTCTCTATGTGTCAGGAAAACAGACTTAGACCAGTTCCAAACAAGCCTTTAACCTAATCAGGTTTAAGAAAGAGTCCATATACTTCCTGCCAAAACCCGCGCTTTTGGGGGGGGGGTGTCTAGAAATGAAAGAACCCCCTTTCCCCACCCAAAAGGGCTAAATGATGCACCAGGAGAAGGGGGGGAAGAGGAGTGATTTTCCTCCTTCTTCCCCTTCTTTTGGAATGTCATTTCTACATGCTAGGAGAGCTCCGACACCATTTTAACGTTAGTCAGGTAATTGTGACTTTTTAGCCCTTTTGGGTTGGGTGGGAGGGGTGCTGTTTTGGGTTTTCCAAGCTCCAGGAGCCCAAAAGTCCTGAGACGGCTGTGTGGATTGGATACGGAAGTTGCATGATGTGATCTAGGTGTCTTTCCAGGTGCCAAATTAATTCGGGACAAAGCAGGGTTTTAAATGGTTATGCTGATGCTTTTATGTTAAGCCACTTTGAGTCCCCTTCGGGGGAGATAAAGCGGGATAATAATAATAATAATAATAATAATAATAATAATAATAATAAAGAACTACATTTTGCCCATCCCTTGCCTACTATGCATCATTTAGATGCTGAGCAGTGGGGAAACATAGCCTGGGAAAGAACTTAATCAGTATTTGGAGGAACCCATTCTCTAGGCACAAGCTCATTTCCTTTATATGTCTTTTTTTTTTGCTCTCTGATTCCGTTTCCCTCTTCTGGGGATGATGCTTTGAGGAAGAGCACAAAACTGAGGATCACAATTAACTCCATGGGCCAGAGGTTTGATATCTGTGTGGAAATAACTATTTGCAAACCCAGCAGCTGAATTACTTTGGTTAATAATTGCATTGCTACTCCCACGAGGACTAAAGTGTTCCAAGAAATGTTTCTTTTCCCCTAAGGAATGCCACCTCCATCAAAACTTTTTCAGGTTTGCATTTTATCAGGAGTTTTCACAAAAAAGGACGGAGCGACAGATTGAGCTTTATCAGATTTTTTAAAAAAGGAATTTGCATTTCTATAATTTCTTTCCCCTATTTGTGCAAGGTTTGGTAATTGTGGAGCAGAGAAGGAAAGAACACATAGTATCAACAACAAAGTGTGGAGCTGGTAAGGGATGGAAGCTGGTGATTTGCATTAGTCCATAGGCAGAAACTGCCCACTTCTGACTTCTGGGGTTGCTCAAAGGATACTTGAAACAATGCCACCCTTTCCTTTGGTAAATGCCAAGTATATGTTTTAGACTCCTCAAAGGATCAATTATTAAATTCCGTTTGAAATCCCTTTTCAATATCTTAATTAATTTTCTGACATTAGCTCTGGTCTTAAAAGTCTATACATTATGGATTGTATCACTTCTTTCTTCTTAAGGATTTCTTGTATTGAGAAATGCCTGGAATAAGCTACTTTTGATTCCTACAATTTAATTACTAGAATGGATATTCAAAGTTTTGATGTCTCTTCCTTAACATTATCATTAACTTCCTTTTGCTTTTTAATATGGTCTCTTTTAGTCACTGTCTCTGATTCCATTTCTTATGCATGCATTATTTTTTTTCATCTTGGCGTCTTCTTAATACCTAAACACCTAAAGTTGTTATCTAATTCTAAAATTCAACTTATTTTAATTAAAACATGGTCCCAAATATAATAGTGATTACCAAATGAAGAAGAAAGATCTTGATAGATAAATAAATACAGGAATGAAGATACGCATGGGGAACAAAATCTAATTCAGATATATATTATGGAACCCCTTTTACACAAAACATGTTAGGATCAAACAGAAAGAAAATAGGAGCATTGACAGTGATTGGTTTATGAACAGGCACTGTTATATTTATATTTGGGCTATAACATTTAAAGGACCCTAGCAAAAAGCAAGCCAATGCACTTGTTTTAACCTGTGAAACACTATTAAAATATCAATGACTTGATTTTTGAAGAAAAAGTGGCATCATCAAATGATTAAAATACAAAAAGTTAACTATGCATTAATTAAGGTCAGTTTATATTTATGTTATAGGGAACAGGAAATTGGAACCTGGAGGCATTTGAAAGTACAGGTGTGCATTACATACATTTAATGATTTATTAAATATTTATGTTGCAATCTTAGATCTGGACTCCCATCAGTTGCTATGTTACTAGTACAAGGATGAAAATAGAATTCCTGCAAACAGGAAAAGCATTATGCAACTGAAATAACCTGGATTCAATCTTAGAATGTCTAAATCAGAAGTCAAATCCTTGGGGTACACCTCTCTCCATATATATTTTTTTAACTGAAACAGAGTTATGTTTGTTAAGATCCAGATGTGTGCTGGGTCTGTTGGGTTCTCCTCACCATCACAACTAACACAAGGAACACATTTTGAAAACAATCCTTTTAAAACATATCACAGGGCAGAAAACAAATTATATCCATGTTTCCTGATGGTGTGGGCACCATTTTCCCACCCTTGAAGTTTATTTCTAACTTTATTTAGAGCAGGGATTCTCAAACTGTGCTCCACGGAGCCCTTGGGAAGAGCGCTTAGCTCAGTCAGACTTTTGGCTGAGGTTGAGGACAAAATTGTTGGGGCCTAGCAGAGTAATTGAGGATGGGGTCTGACCTCCTCCTCACTCAGGTGAGACAATGCAAAAAAACCACCCCAAAACTGGTAAATCTAAGACACAATTGATTGTAAGGTGCACTCCATTTTTGAAGCTCCTAAAATGGGAGAAAATTGTGCCTTAGAATCAATGAAAAAATGATATAATACGAATAATAGAAACTATCTGGTTGGAAGACTGAGCTCTGGGCTTTATTTCATTTGTTTTAATTAGTAAGTAATGAGTAATTTTGGGGGGGGGGGAGACAGCCTAGAAAATTAATAAAGTGCTAACAAGCATATGAGCTGTTGGAACTCTTGGACATCAGATGAAAAGTGGGTTACAAGGATCATATCTTTTCCTAAGCAATCATGGCAAGGTACTGTGAACCTACTGGAACACCAACCAAAAAAAAAAAGGGGGGGGGGAGGACAATAGCAGAAAATAGGTTAATTTTGGAATACTATTACAAAGCAAATTTGTCAACTTGAGGTCACCAAAAAAGGATGTGTGTCATCTAAAAAGAAATGCTCTGAGAATCTAGCATAGGAAAGCAGTGATTATGTCACCAAAGACATTATATTAATTTCAATAACATCTTCTCAAATATAAAACTTCAAGAAAGGTAAATAAAACAGGAGAACAATTAACAAAGTGATTAGACTGAAGATGGACATTGTGCTGTCAAATGAACAAAAAATCCATATTACAAAGTACAATTCTAAATGAGAACCTGTTGCAAAATGTGTTTGAAGTTTTTGGGACTTTTGGTGGGCAGAAAGGGGACTGAGCTGAGGACTATCTACTTGATTTGAGCTGGAAAGACTTTTTCCCCCTCCCAGCATCTTCTATTCAAAGAAATATAACTGTTCATCATATTTAATGCTATTTTAACATGTGTGTGCTTTTAAAGAGAAATTTAGTTTTAAAGGTGTCTTAACTAATGTATTAATAGTTTTGCAACTGTATTGTTGGGAGAAAGGTGGGATATAAATAAATAAATAAAATAAATAAATAAAACCATAAGTTTGAAGTTTCCTAACTCTAACCCATATCAAGCAGAAGAAACACCTTGGATTGATACTGTCACAGGAAAGCTGCAGCCCAAATTGGGACAATGTCAAGATATTCCTTTGACCAATTTTTAGCTCAGAATAAGTGAGACTGATATTAATAGGGGTTTTTTTCCGCTTTCTGTTCTTGTAACTATTTTTTTCATTTTAAAGATATTGTGAATTTGAATGTCCCAAGGTGATAGACTGGTGAGAGGGAATACAACTATCACAAAGGTATATGAATGCTAACACCTTTGTATCAAGAAAATTGAAGTTACCCTCTGTTTTCACAGATTTTATGTAATGAATTCAGGGCAAGGAACTTAATGTAATTTGTGTCCTACTGGCAGCTTGCCAAGGTAAACTAGGGCACATACAGAGCACAAGGTTAGAGAAGAGAGAAATCAATGCAGGAAACACATTTTTAAAACCTAGTGCCACTAGCAGCAGAGATACCTAACTCTAGAACTTTTTAACAATTAGTTCACAGAAAAGAAAGAGTTTTAATTTTTCCATGTGGTCTTTTGAAGTAAAACGAAGTAAAGTAAGCAGATAGGTTTCCTTCAAATACAGTTTTTATTTGTTTTTACTCACTAGATTAATGATACAATTAAAACCGTACAAATAAACAATGTATCAATGTATTGTCGAAGGCTTTCATGGCCGGAATCCATGGGTTGTTGTAGGTTTTTCCGGGCTATATGGCCATATTCTGGAGGCAATTTTTCTCCTGATGTTTCGCCTGCATCTATGGCAAGCATCCTCAGAGGTAATGAGGTCCTCATTACCTCTGAGGATGCTTGCCATGGATGCAGGCGAAACGTCAGGAGAAAAATTGCCTCCAGAACATGGCCATATAGCCCGGAAAAACCTACAACAACCCAAACAATGTATCACTCACAACAGGCATTGAATCCACTTTAATAGATGTGGCAGAAGAGTTAATGGCTTCAAAATGATGTTGCTACTTTCTCCAAAGTATCATAAGAAAGTATTAAAGAGATATTATTTGGACTGAAATAAACTATTTCTAATGTGGATACCAAAATGAAAGATTCATACCAAGAATGCGAATCATGCAGCTTTCTAAATGTTGTTGGACTACAATTCTCAGAAGCCCTAATCAGTTAGCCAATTATGATGAATAAGAAAATGGGAAGATTATATTATTCTTACCTGGATTTATACCATGAGTATAAAAAAGCACTAACAGATGTATAGTGTATCTACTCATGTACCATAAGTCAAGAAATGTTTGACAAAAAACGAACTCAAAAACCAGGGTCAACCTATTCATAGTTCAATGTAACCTGGCTTGACTTATCCATAGATATAGTATTAACCCTGGCAGAATAACAGAAGTGGTGGGTTTTTTGGAACTTGCCCCTACAGCAGGGAGAGCAGAATGGGGTTGGTGCTTATTTTAGCTTCTCTCAGGATGGAGTAAAGTGAACTTATTCTGTCCCAGGAGAATCGAAAAGAAGCACCATCTTCCTTTACTCTCAATACTGCCACAAACCTCAGGAGCCTCTTATTTCAATGACTGATCTTGTTCTCCAACAACAACACTTTCCCAAAACTGATGAGCTGGGCAGCCTCATCATCTAGCTAGCCATACATTCCCTGCTACCTCTGCCACTACCACAATTCTCATGAAAGGTTTGTTTTGCCAATATGGTCACTGTTTAACATTGCCATCAGTAACCAGGCAGCAATAACCATGGGAGAGGAGCAATGTTCTGCTCACTGCCAAGCCCTTCCAATTTGCCTCCCTTCAAATTCCAGCTTTTGTGCTACTCCTCCAAGTTGTCTGATGGCTATCTTAGCCCATTAGTTCCTTCTCTGACTGAGAGAGCTTCCTTGGATCTGACAGCACTATTTTAAAGTTACCTCTTTGTCTCTGGCATTGAGCAGGTTGGATCATAAAGAAGATGGGATGAGAGGAAAGTGTTGGGGAGAGAGAGAGAAAGAGAATCCACTTGGGAAGCAGAGACTCCCCACCCCTCTCCCCAACCCTCCTTTTCTCCTTTATCTTCTCACCAGAAACAGAGACTGCAGCCACTTCTAGAAATTGGCCAAACCCTTCCATTCGAAATCTTTTCCAGAAAGGCCTTCAGTTATTGTTATTCAGGTTGACTACCTCATATTCAAAATGTTTGGGACTAGAAGTGTTTTGTATTTTGTAATCTTTCAGATTTTGGAGAACTTGTGTTTGCATATACATACTGAATGAGGGATAAGGGGAGAAAGTTAGTCACACATTCAACACACACAGGATTTTTTTTCTCCTCAAGGTCAAGACCTTGCTCCACCACTGTCAGGAATTTGACAAGGGAAAGAGATGAGAGGAAAGGACTTTAGTTTCTGCAGCTCTGCTCATACAAAGCTCCTATAAAAAGCATATTTCCCTAGCTGTCAGCACATTTTCCACCCATTTTGCAAAACAGCTCTTAGAGCTGGGAAGGGAGGAATAAGGTCTAAGTGGATTTGGTTATTCACTGGCACTTCATTGGGTATCGCCTCCACCTCTGACTGGAATTATTCCTATTGTAACCTGTCTTGAAAAGCAAACAAAAATGCATTGTGGGAAGGTTGATAGCTACAGCACATTTGGTGAAGAGCCCTTGCAAGGAATTGGAGTCCTCCCCACTCACCCCCCCCCCAAAAAAAAACTATGTTTCTGACAATGGAGGAGCAAGGGCTCCATAAGGAAAAACTCAGCAGATGCTGGACAAGCGACTAACCTCCTTTTCTCAAAGGTTGGAGCAGGTGACTAGAAGCAAAAAGTTTCAATTTTTGGATTTTGGATAAGGGAGGTTAAACTGATATGCCTTTAACATTGCAATAAATCCAAGCATAAGCTACAGTTCATCCTGGTGTTAATACAGTATCTAAAATAGAAAAGGAATACATCCTTTACATCCTTCATTATATTCTAAATTTTACCCTTGACTTATACTGCATTAAAATCTATTTTTTGGCCCCCAAACCTGCCCATGACTTAAACATGAAATCAACTTATAAATGGGAAGCATGTATATGCAGCAGTTTTCATGCAAGAATTTTACTAGTTGATGGGCCTCCACAAAACTAAAAGTATATTGCATATAATAGATTTTGCCTTCTTATCACATAACTTTTTCACCTCAACACTTCAGTTTCCTTTTAAAAGAAGTAAAGTTTCTATCCTGCACACCTGGGAGAAAAATCCTTAAAATAGGAAGACTTCGAAAGTCAAGGTGACCTAGATAAGCATTTTAGAGCCCCGGTTTAGAACTCTTTCTACAAAAGTTTTATACGCCACAGAACTGTTTCACTCTGGTCTTTTCATGAAAATATCCAGCCTCACACACAAATATATACCACTTCTTACCTTAGAATCTAGACAGTCAAAGCCAATGTGCATTTTAATTGCATTACTGCTAAATATGCAATAGTGATTTCTCATTAGAGAGACATGACTTTAAACTCAAATACAAATGTTCTACGTAACTGCCTATCATAAGAACATCATCCTTCCATTTATTCCCCTGCTACCCAGTGTATCTCATCTCAGATGTTTGTAATGTACCTCATCTTGAGTTCACCTTGTTATTCACAGTTTAGTACAGTTGGCCCTCCAGATTATACATTCATGAATTCAACTATCTACAAGTTAAAAATATTCTTCAAACAAAAATCCAAAAAGCAAATCTTGATTTGGCCATTTTATATAAAATACATAATTTTACTATGCCATTGTATATACAGTATGAGACTTAAGCATCCGTGGATTTTGATACCCACAAAGGGTCCTGGTATACTACAAAAATGTGTCAGAAATAAATCCACTTTCCTTTCTTTATTCAGTGTGGCAGATACACAAAGATTTAAGTTTTTGCTTCTATTTTGAGCTGCAGTTACTCATTTAAACTGTATCTGGTCTTCTGCCCCATTGGCAAAATATGATCTGGCCAAAACTGCAGAATCACCAGTTCTAGAAGGTTTTGGGATCAGAAAATATAAAAACAGAGTCCCTCAATGTTCTGTTTTATTTACAAATTTTAGAAAATCAGAAGTGCACTTCTATATCATTGTACATAAGAAGACTTGAGCATCTACAGATTTTTGTATCCATCCAGTTTTATACAGGATCGGGGGCAAAATTATTTTTCTTCATTTTCCATTGGGGCTACTTTAGCTGACCTTTCCAGGATGACTTTGAAAAATTTGAATGAACACTATTCTTCTCCCATGGCCCATGTTTTTAATTAACAGATGCTCAGTGGCATGTATCAAAATTATCTAATTACACCCAACTTCAATTAATAGATTTCCAATTGAAAATATTAGAGATTGGAAGTTTTGAATTACAGAACTTACCAAATGCTGAATCTTTGAGAGGACTTGAACTTGCACTACTGGAATTATCTGATACATCTAGTTCATCATCTAATTCTGAGAAGACATCTGTATGTAAAATAAAGACACACACAACTTTTTGTATTCAATTCTGATTAGCATACTGGACATACTAGAGAAATTCTTACTCATTACTACCTCTTTCTGAGTTTTCTGCAGTGCAGTTATCATCTGACAAGGCTTCGTCACAAGTTTTGTCAACATCTTTTCCAGAAGATTGATGGAAGTTTTCTGGCAGGTCAGCATTTTCAAAAAAATCACTTTTTAAACTGGCTGCTCCACTGCTACTGCTGCTGAGGCTTGACTTTTCATAATGTTCCTATATAAAGAAAAAAAGAAACTTTTTTTGCCAATGTGATTCCCAGAAGATAAGTTAGGTGTAATGTTCTAGCAACATTATTAATTTATTTCAATGTTTTAGAAAACTGTTCAAGAACACTGTATGATCTTCATCATGTATTTTAATCTGTAGGGAAACTGATCACAGATGATCTTCAAACATGAAAGTTGCCAACTGAGAAAGGTTAAGTCATTTTTGGATTTGTACCAACACCGATTTCATATTTTTATCACTTTTCATCCTGGTCTTGATTTCTATAGGTTTGATTGATTGATATAAATATTTTATTTCACCTAATCTAGAGACAGACAGTAAAAGCCACAAAACAATTATGGTGCACTAAAATATATATGTTTAAAAACAACAGCCCAAACTAATGAACAGGTACAGATATAATGTACTGAATTCCACATTCTGGCAAAGAGAGATTAGGCCATAGCAAGGGCTCCAGAAAGCCTGTGCAAATAGCCAGGTTTTGTCACTAATTATCTATACCAGAAGTTCCCAATTTTGATTTTGACCAGGGACCACTTTGACCAGGAACCACTCTTGAACATTAGGACCAAAAGGAATACACATCAGTTTTTGGTCAACTTTAGATTTGGTTTGGTTATTTGGGGTGCTGATTCACAAAATTGCATTGGATAGACCACATTAGCTGTCGTTTCTGATAGAGAAGATATGCCATCCAGTAGTCACCATCTGCTCGGTCACAGAAAACCATATTTAGTAAGTTTTGGCACTATATGAAGGTAATAATAATAATAATAATAATAATAATAATAATAATAATAATAAACCAGTCATTCTTGTTGCAACAGTGTACTAACAGTGAGGCCACGGACCACAGGTTGGAAACCACTGATCTATACCATAGTTAAATATAGTCATTTTGTTGTACTGAAGCAAGTGATCAGACTGCTTGATTAAGACTTTGGACATCCAAGTTCCCAAAGTCACGAAATTCACCAGGTTATCTTGGGCTAGTTGTCTTCTCTTAGGCTAACATACCTCACAGCAAAGAGAAGCCAAAACAGCCATTCTGCCTTGGGTTCAATGGAAGAAAGGTGAGATATAATTCTCAAAGTATTGAGTTCAATTTATTAGAATGAATCAAGCAAATAAGTATTTGGTCTTTGAATGTTAAGAGTTTGTGGCACTTTCCACTAACAGTGATCACTTGAACTCAACAAGCAACCAATACAATTCTTTTCAATATGAGCCAGAAGACAGGAATTTGGTGCCTGTACTTATGATATTTTCTTTCTCTCCTTTATCCGTACAATATACAGAGGCTCATTTGAACATTGTCCAATGCAATGGCAGACAGGAGAACAGTGAAATACTCTACCAAATGTACCGTGTTTCTAGTTCTATTTATGACCATAACTTTATATGTTTACTTACCTGAGATAACACAGCAAGGTGATGGTGACATGTCACTGCATTCCTATTGGCCTCCATGAAATATCTCTGAGTACGCCTTCTCTCCCGCTCCAGTTTCCTCTCCAAGACAAGCTGGGTAGTTGATAAACCATCTAGATATTTCATCATAACATCAGATATCATTGAACTGACCTCAACTATGTCAGGACGATTCTCTGCATCAGGAGTTAAACACCTACAGTATAGGAGAAAAAAGATTTCATCATTCAAGTAATCTACAGCATCATCAACTAAAACCCACCAAACCCCCAGCAAGGACAATTAATGATATGAACATCTGTACAAGTAGATTCAAGAAATGCATCACAAAGTTTAAGAAACCACACAATCAGAGCACTAGACTATGATTTTCTTTGTTCAATTCAGACTAGTCCAATTTTCAGTGGCCTCTTACATTTTGGCTTGTACTATACGACCATACATTTTCATTTGATGCAGTCTAAAAGGATCTATATGCTCACAGACACACACTGATTGTCATTCGAGTTAAGCAAATTGCCCTCTGCCCAACTTCAATGAGAAACATGAAAAAATTACAGAAAAATAAGTTTAAAACTCTACACAGGAAGATACTGTAAAGCTACTATCACCAATTTGTAACGAAGCCGCTAATTTGCGAAGAGCCGCCACCAAATTGCGAAGAGGTGCTTAGGTTTAGGAGAGAGGAGCCACCGATTTGTAAAAGGCTCTGGTATTAATACCACTGGATGCCACCCTATTTGTGTTGTGAGGTAATTTTGTATGATTGGGTACACCGAACGTAGGATTAATGGAGATGAGGCAGTTTTAAAAACCAAAGAGAACAAGTTTATTTTGTAACAAAGCGTATGGTTGCAGTTTGATGTTAAGCTTGGCAAATACTTGGAGAACGTTACATGTAACTTGGTTGCGATACAGTTCAGACTTCCGATGTTACAACTTATAAAACTCTTGCTGTGGTGAAGCACTTTATTAAACAATGTTTTCTGTGGTGAATAGTCTCCCTGTTTGATTCTTCTGTGATCAAACACCAGATCTCTAGTTCTTTTAACTAGTGATCTAAACAAGCCTCTGTTAGTTCTTTCTAACTAAAGAAACTAATAAGGTTTTCCCCTTCAGCTTTCCTAACTGAAGAAATCTCTGACTATTCACGAACACTGTTTCTCTACTTCCCACTTTCTCTCTACATGACTGTTCACTCCTCCTAACCTAACTCTTCACTCCTCTGAGCCTAAAAACTGACTGACTCTTAACTGTCGCTTTTCAAAAACACTCTTCTCTAAGCTCCTCCCACTCCTCTGCAGCATCGTTTCCATGGTAACACACTCCTCTCAGCTAGGCCGCTCCAGCCTTAGGGCAACCAATGCAAACACAAATACAGTTATAATCATATTATTATAATCACTTCTGTACAGATACTTACTGTTTAATTATAGCTGATACCTTTTCAGAAAAAATACCATCTGGAACTGGCTCATATGCAGCTTCTACTATCTGCAAAATAAATATTTGAAAATAATAATAATTGTATTTCTTACTCACTTCTCCTTGTGGCTCGAGGCAGGTTACAACATTGCTAAAACACATGATCATCTAAAAACATTATATGAAATACACACATTAAAACACGTTTCTACAAAATACATATTAAAATACACAGAACAAAGATGAAACATAAGACATACGTTTAAACTTCATGTTTGAAACTGGGTGTGTAAAAACTGGGATTAAAAATGGGGAACAAGTGTTTTTAAATCTTGCCAAATCCCCAAATTCCTTTAAAATTAATATTTAGCACTCTGGAGTGGATTTATCACAGTAATCTGCAAACATTCACAAATGCCCTTCATTTATATTATTACTGCTTAATCTTAATTCTTGTAACCCTCTAATATTTTTGGCAATCAACATTCAAAAATGTAAGTGCTGAAATGAACAACAATGTAGAAAATGGACATCTTTGCCTAGTTTGTTTCTGTATCTCATTTGGGATAGAAAACTTTCTATTTATTATCATTCATGCTGTATGTGTTGAATAAATAGATCTAACACATGTCATAAATTATGCATAAATAATATCTCCTCCAATACTTTAAAAAGAAAAGTCCAGTTTAAATCATCAAAAGCCTTTTCTGAGTCCCCACTCCCCAAATAACTGCTTTCTCTCAAAGTAGTCTCAGATATTCAATAACATTTCTAATATTGTCTATTATTTGTCATTTTGGTAAAAATTCACATTGATCTTCATGAAAGAAATCCTGAAGAATAATTTTCAAACTGTCTGCCAAAATCATTGTAAATATTTTCCAATCATTGTTCAGCAATGATTCTGGTTTATAATGCTTTGTCAAAATCAAAGTATTATTAGGTATTATAGCTATGTTCACCTCTTTCCAGCTATCAGATATCTTCCCATTGTGTAAAACTGAACTGATTGCCTGCTGCAGTGGAAACATTTATAATATATCGAAAGTGTCTTCCCTGTAGCACAAATTACTCTCATTTAATAGGTACATATATGCTGTTCTGCTGTTCTATAATCTTAGACAGCTTCTCCTTAGGCTAATATTGTTCTTATTTTGCCTTCAATATGTTTTGATATTTATGTTTAAAAGGATTAAATTGGTGTGCTTTCTGTATTTTCTCATTATTCTTAATCATATCATTATTCTCGTCTTTTCAAAATAATTTTATTTTCTCTTTCTTACCTTAACAGTCTCCCAGGTTTATTTGCAAATTCAAAACTCTTTTGCTTTTACACATTTCATTTTTTTCTAAATATCTTTAGCACTTATTTGCTGAAGAACTAAAAAGCTTTGTTTCTTAAAGATGTTCATGTGTTTTATGACAACATTACAAGTTGCACAATTCTGGAATTCTTCAAGATATTTGTCAAGTGTTGCAAATTTTTATGGTAAGTACTGACTTTGAGGAGTGTAATAGCCTTTCAGGACCACATTTGCAAAAAAACAGAGAGCATTTTATTATCCCATAAAAAGTAATAGCCCAGTACCAATAAATGACTGTTTGATTGTGAAGTGTATCTCATTTTAGGGAGCCACATACAAGACATGTATAAAAGCAAAGGGAAGAAGAACGATACAATATGGATGATAGGAAGAACTAAGTATATATATATATATATATATATATATATATATATATATATATATATACATACACACACACACACACACACATACACACACACGCGTGCGCGTGCAGATGCTTAGGAGCTAAGCAGAGTATAAGATTCGGTGTCTCAATTTCAGAGCCATACTCTCTTTCGGTTCTTTGACCCAGTACTGAGAACTAGGCCTGCTCTCTCTATTGCAGCCATTTAATTTAGGTTTATGACTCTGCTTCAAAATCCCCATGTGTTGCAATAACACTTTGCTCAAAATGTGTATCATAGAGCCACAAAAAGCAAGGAAGAAAAAGCATGTTCAAAAAGTGTGCATACACAGAGGTAAATGTTATATTTCCAACCATACTTGCATACTTTTGTGGCTAAGGAGAGCATGTTGGTGCTGTAAAATGGGGGGTTGAGGGTTGCCATCTGATAGAGGACACATCCAACAGCCCAGACATCAGCCTTCTCTCCATATGGTTCACTCTTCACAACTTCAGGGCTATGTAAGTAAAAAAAAGTTCACATAGGAGAGTCACAGATGTAGATAGATAGATAGATAGACAGATAGATAGATAGAGATATTAGTAGAGAAACTGAAAAAAGAAGAAGCTAATAATAACATAAAATAATTTTTAGAAAAATACAAAATAACTTAGTTTATCATTAACTATAATTAATCAGGATGCCTCTGATTGCAAAACATGTAAAGTGATCTACAGCTGTGAAAGTACAAAATCATATTATGTGTAAAAAAATTCAGATGATTAAGAAAATTTAAATAACATAGATTCAGCTATTTTAATATTTGCAAAGTGTAGCTATGATCCACTCCCTTATTGTTGATCTCCTTCTTTCCACTTGACTGTTCTCTCTATAAATCTCTACCATTAATATGAAATGTTTATCCCTGTTTGTGGAAAATGCTGCCTTAATTTGAGGTAGGAGTTTGAAACAGATGAAATTCACATACTCCCCCATTTCTACATTTATTGAATTGCAGTCAATATCCAATGCAAATTAATTGATGGTTTTTATTCTCATTCTCATCACAAATCAAACACATGCAATCAACAACAGCACTATAAATGCATGCCTTTTGAAGGAAGATCCTTAATTGCTGGTTTTTTCCCTATATCCCTCTAATTTAAACTAAGCTATTGGGATGAGGCAACATTACCTAGCCTTGAGTTATCAGTTACCATTGGCCACCCCCAGGTAGGAGATGAATTTGCAAATGCTCCAGTTTAGGTGGGTCCAGCTTTAGGCAAGAAATGAGAGCTTTGAGAAAATCTGTAGCTCAGATAGTACACCAGCAGCTTGCTGTAATTTGTGAAGACTGTCCAAACTATATACTTATGATTGCATACATGATTAATATTACACCCCCCTCCCTCAAGTATTCATTTCAATCAACATCATTTCTAAAACTTATGAGAAAGAGTACAGGAGGAAATAGACATATGTTTGGTTTAGATCAGAATGAGTAAGGCATTGCTGTTTGTTACCATAATCCCTCATGGCTAGTTATGCCAGCTAAGCTGATGCAAGTTGCAGTTCAATAACATCTGGATGGTGCACTCTTAAGGTCCTTTTCTTATGTGAGTATTCTTAAAATGTATAAAGATCATAGCAACCAAAGTGGTCTATTTGGGGAGGGGGAAGCACAAACATTCCATATACTTTTATTTGGACCAATATCACAAAGTAGAGAGAATACATTTGAACAGAATAGGGAGTGGGATTTCTTCAGTAATGGAATGCAGAAGATGCACTGAAGACCTGAAAGTATCGTCCATATGTAGAATAGATCAAAATATCCCATATCCCAAAGGGGATGTGGGGAAGCATATCTCCTTTTTCTCTTTTATTCACATTGAAAAGGCTACATCAGCAAAGAGAAGAATTCTTTGATAATTGAATATGGATACCAATTAAGTACTGGTATTAGCAAAGGGCGAGCTTGCTCTGGAGAGAGCCTTCTCTGTGGTCACTCCCAGTTGGCCTCCTACCCATTATCTTTCTATTAAGAGATAAACCCTTTTTTATTTAAGGAGGTTTTTGGCTTTTAATATGATGTAGCTGACAGGGCTTTTAAAGGGAGTGGTATTTCTATTTAACGTGTGTGTGTTGTTTTTTTTTTTTTTAAAAAAAAACTGAATTTAACCTACATCTTAAACTAATGTTCTTAAAGTAAAAATTTAATTTAATTGCATTTCAGCTTTTGTACTGGAAGCTTTTTAATTGTGTTTTTAAAATCTTGTACACCACCTTGGATCCTATCTTGCAAAAAAAGCAGGGCAAAAATCAGTAAAATATAAATAAATACATAAATTAATGCATACATTCATTCTTCAAATTTGCACTTTTAAAAAAGTCACAATTATTTTATTTTATTTTATTTTATTTACCATACTTGTATCCTGTCTTTCTCAACCCCAAAGGGGACTCAAGGTGGCCTTACAAAGGAAACAATTCAATGCCGCATGTACACATACGTCAATTAATAAACAAAAACATTAAAACCAACCAATTAAAACATAACATTAAAACAAATCACATAATTCAGTTCATATTCTAGGGCCAGTCCAGGTCGTCATTAAGTTAATTTATAGTCTTATTGCACTGCTCCCATTATTGACCAAAAGCCTGATCCCAGAGTCATGTTTTTTATTTTCTTTATGAAGGCCAGGATGGAAGGGGGGGGGGGGGATCTAATTTCACTGGGGAATTTGGCACCTGTATCATTGAGAAGTCTGCAGAGTGAGCTCAATTCTGAAATAGGATTCTGCAGTACAATACAGTGCCATGATGAGATAGATGTGTAGGTGTAATAGGAATGATGGTTAAGTCAGCTGGATTTTGCAAACATTTATTCATAATAATCACCCTGATGTAGTTTTAAGTTTTCAAATCCACATCTTGTATGCAAGCAGAAAGATTCTTGCTTTATCAGTTTCTTGGCTAAAATAGATTGCTGTGTCCCCTACTAAACAAATGGTTACAAGCTAGAACAAAGCCAGATTAGCAGAACATTTTTCAATATCATTATTTCTTTATTCTAATAGATTGAGCCACATTCTATGTTTTCTTTGAAAGAAGTACCATCTGCTGCTCAACTCAGAATGTATATTTTTATTTAATAACAGATCTTCTTGCATACTAAACCTGATCTTAAAATGAGTCTGGCAGCTGAACACATTTTTATAGCAGCACAGAAGATAATTTAATCTTTCACATTTACAAAAATGACTTCAAAATATAAGAGAATGCATTTAAGTAACGTAAATTAAAATAAAAGAAAGAAAAGGCATTGGTCTCCCTAGCAAGCTATGTCATAATGCTATTTATAGAGCAGTCTATTTTCATACCGATTCGTTTTCACTGACACTTTCATGATTTTTTTAATGTTTAAGTATTCATTTCCAATTTTATTCAGTTAATATTTTATTACAATATTTGCATAAGTTTAATTTTAATAAGGATGGAGAGAAAGATTCTTCTTCCTGAAGCAGAATCTTGATGAGCTGATTGACAGTATCCTACTTGTTTTCAGACTGCCTTACAAGGATTAGCTTGTATAAATATTAGTTTTGAATTGATGATTCTCTGTATAAAGGTCATAATAAAAGTGACTACTGTTTGAGTGATATCTTGGTAAAATTAGAGGATTTAGGTAAGCAAATAATGATAAAGACTGAGAAAGGCTAAGCCCAAATTCAACAGTCATGTTGAAACCTGCCACAAAAGAACTTCCTATCAAGTTTCATCTCTTGGGGTTCACCTGTTTAGAATCCATAGGCTATAGTGATCCTGGACTTTTTAAACCAACATGCTTCTTGTATATCCTATCAGATTCACAGGTCTATGCTGAACAAGCAATGATCAAAGTATAGTTCTACCACCATGTTGTCGTCATCTTCTTGTTATTGTTATACCCTATGAATCTCTCTCATTATTTCTGAGTTGGAGAATTGTTTTTTATTAGCAATATTATTTGTGTCTGCCTTTTCTTCTTAACTCCTCCAGGCTTTACCTGTCTTTGATGTATACTCATCATACTAAGCAAATTTCCCCCCTTTTCATCTTTCCTTAGTTGTCCTGTTCCATCTTTCTGTTATGACAGTGAACTTGACCAATGGTCCAAGCTAGCTGCATCTAAGGCCTGCCGAAATGAATAGTTTGAAATCAGACATGAATAACTTCTCTTCTTGACTTCCAGGAAACCTAGAACATTATTTTTCTCTTAACCCTGTTTCTTCTTGACCTTTTTGTTCCCTGATAACTTAACTACTAATACTCTGGCTGTCTTCGCCATTGTTATCAACACTCATATCTTCCTGTTTTACTTATTGTGAATTTCCATTGGCCTTCTCACTGCTAATTGAGAACAGTTATGGCTTTCTAATGATCTCTTCAATATAAATTAGCACCTCAGTTTTCAACTATATTGATGTATCGGTAGTCCTGTTCAAAATAATTGCTTCTAAAATTGCCCCTAGTGACCAATAAAATTATTATTGTTGAGGTTAACATTCTACATCAACTAAGTTCCCTGCTGACTGTTCCTTACATCTTCTTTCTCAGAAGGAACCAAGCCGTGGGACAGAGACATATTCTTACACAGACCAAGAATACATTCTTCATATTGCCACTGTATTTTAAGAATACCTCAACAACAAACACATAAATTGTAAAATATTCCAATGATCTAATCATAGCACACACATTTATTCTGGGCTGAAGAAATCTAAATTTATTACCCACGAACCAGATGGTCTGTTTCTATACTCAAGATAAACAATGCAGTCAATAAACTGCAAGATGGCATTGCTTGGGTCAATGGAAACCAATAAATTAAAAAGAGATGCACAACATTCAGTCCCTTACTAAATAAATGAAACACATGAACTGAATAACATTCATCTAAATGCCAGCATATTTCTATTTTTAATACAAAATGAAATACATATATTTATGAAAACTCTCAATTTACCTTTCTGAACCAATTATAAAAGTGATAATGTATTCCTAACAATAAAACTCAATACTGGTTGAAAAATAGAAATAAATTAGCAACTAAAAACAAATAAAGATGAAAAATATGTCAGAAATAAAATCAGAAAACATAGAAGTTGAGGATAAATGAAAAAATACACTAATTCAGCAAAATATGCATTTTCAAGAGAGTTGATCCAATAGAATCAGCACTATGACAGACAGGACCCCTTCTGTCCAAGTTATATCACAGTTGAATTGAGGACTGCTTCTTTTGCATATCTCAAAAAAGGTGGAGGCTAATCTCTCTGTGGACCAAACTCTGGAAAAGTTACTCCATTTAACTGCAATGCTCTGAATATCTCTGCATAAGTAGCGTGCCAGCTGAGGAGGTAAGGGATCTGTTCTCAACTGTGATTTTTCCAAGAGCTACTGAAGATGCTGATATTAAGATTTTCAAACATAAACTTTGAAAATCCAGCTTTTTCAAGCATTTCTTTTAAAAACAAAACCCGAATATCAAAGGACCTAGATATCAAATGCTTGGTTCATTGAAAACCCATTTGTGTTTATGTTTCAATATATGTAATCTATTTTATTTTACTGCTGACTATAAATATTTCTTCTTACTTCTTCCGAAAACGAAGCAGTTTCTGAAAACCTCCAGCATCTATAAAATGTAATTACCTCACTTCTATGGGATGTTATATAATTTTCTACTGGACACACTGACCTTACATTTAATATCCACAATCTCAAAGTATAAAGTTTTTGTCACAGCCCTGTGACAAAGCAGCATCACTTTCAGAATGATTCAGTTGGTTTTCAATCATCTCAGTGGCTCAGTCAGAACCTCAAGCAGTGACTGATACCAGATGAGAGACTCCCTCCTAGGCACACAGAAGATTGGGAGACTTGGAAAATGCTGAACAGACTGCGTTCTGGCACCACGAGATGTAGAGTTAAGAAATGGGGCTACAAAGTGGAGTCCAAGACATGCGGGTGTGGAGAAGAGCAAATCACAGACCACTTACTACAATGCAACCTGAGCCCTGCCACATGCACAATGGACCTTCTGACAGAGACACAAGAGGCACTCCAGGTGGCCAGCTTCTGGTCAAAGGACATTTAGCATAATGCCAAGTTTTTAACTTTGTGTTTTTAAAGACATTACAACTGTGCCCTCAATTCCCTTCTGACATGATAAATAAATAAGTGGTCTCAGTCTACACTAGCAATTCTACATGAGGCCCAAAGCATCCAAAACTGCATTGGACTTGCATTTCATGCTCAGTAGTCTTTTCATGTCATGGGAAAAATTATTTCTTAAGCTAGAATGATTTTGAAAAGAGTTTGTGATATGGCACAGAGGTCTGCTGTTCAACGAAAAACAGTCAAAACTCCCAATAAGTTTCTCTTAAAGCAGCTCTTTGCATATCAGCATCTAAATTTAGCCAGTTAGATGTTTACAAACTAACAAATCCTCCTTCTACCTAACAGGGTCCACATGTGATACTATTCTCTTTTTTTTAAGTATTTTTACTGTTTTATCATAGTTACTACATTTATTATACATTTGTTATAGCAGTTACATATTATTCAACACACTCTTTAACATATAGTCTTATTATTCTGCTTAAGCATTTCCCCCCCTTTTTTCCCACCACCCCCCCCCCCCCCCCCCCCCCATTTCAAGCCACAACTTTTACATATCATCTGTCCAAAATCTCATTTCTTCTTGTGGCGGTAACCTTCCTTCTTTATTTTTTAAACCATTTACAACAAATTTTCCCCATACAACATCAAAATTGCTTTGTTTCCATATACCTTTTTTAACTTTTAATATACATGTCAGCTTATCATTTATTGCTAATTTCAATGCTTCCTTGTACCACTCCTCTATTTGTATATTTATTTCTTTTTTGCAGTTCCTTGCTATGAGCAGTCTTGCTATTGTTAATAAGTTTGTTATCGCTTCTTTATCCTCCTTTTTCAATTGTTTGTTATTATATAGTGATAATAAGGCTATACTAGGACTTTTCTCAATTTTCATATTCATTATATCTCCTATTTCTCTAAATACTTTCTCCCAAAAATTATTTACATATTTACATTGCCACCACATATGTATATATGTTCCTGGTTCTTGACACCCTCTCCAACAATTTTTTGAATTATTTTTATTCATATATGCTATTCTTACTGGTGTCAGATACCACTTCCATATTAGCTTATAATAATTTTCTTTAACCCGTATTGATAAATTTTTAAAATGTCTTTGTCCCCATAATTGTTGCCACTCTGTTTCACTTATTTTTATCCCTAAATCTTCTTCCCAGACCTCTTTAAGGATGTTATTTTTTGTTTTTCCTTCCTTTATTTCAATTAATATCTTATATATTTACTAGTTATTCCTCTCAAATTTTCATGCTCTTCTACAACCCTTCCCTTCTGTATTATTTGTTCAAATTGGTTAAGTTTGCTTCCATTTCTATTATTTTTTCCCAATTTTTGAGCCATAAAACTGATATGGTTCCATTGTATACAATTAGAACAATGGCTATTCTCTATAGCCCAAGTCACCTGAGTTCAACATTCCCATTTTCCTCTTCCCAGAGTACCTATTTCTCATCATGACCTCAATTCTGTTGGGCCTACATTAGTTGTTTGAGAAAACAGTAGTTGGGTGGCTGCTTTATAGAGAACAACCCTAGAACAATCTTCAATTGATTTGACAAATACAGTATCAATATTGGAATACTTGTATATTAATTACCAAATGGCACACCATCCTCTTTGTCACAAGCCAAAGTTATTGATTCTTGGGAGTCTTGGTTTTTAGGGCTGTTCCTGAGGTTATTTGGGGTGCTGGCTCAGGAAATGGCATTTATATATCACATCAGCTCTAGTTTCTTAGATATGGTTTGATTTATAAAATTCTAGTTTGTATCATAAATCAGTGCTTTTTCGGCTTCCCAAGTGCGGCTGGTGGGAACGAGAGACAGGGCCTTTTCTGTGGTGGCCCCTCGGCTTTGGAACACCCTCCCTATAGAGATACGATCAGCCTCTTCGCTGATGGTGTTTCGGAAGAGATTAAAAACATGGTTGTGTAAACAAGCATTCGGTTAGTTTGTTATCACCGAATTTTATGGACTAAGGACTGGTTAATTATGGATGACGAATTCTGGACTGTGATTTTAGTGACGAGATACATGGTATTATTATTGGTGGCCCAATAATTTGTATTGTCTATGTGTTGTTGTTTTAAATTGTATATTGTTTTTAATTGTTGTAAACCGCAATGAGTCGCCGACTTAGGCTGAGATATTAGCGGTATACAAGTGTATTAAATAAATAAATAAATAAATAAATAGATTTCCATTTTCACTTCTTTAATTTTTAGTATGTTTACTTCATGCCTAAAAGATATTTGTTCAAACACTGCATTAAAATATGATTATTTTTTAATGGGCATGGGCAAGCAGAGTGAAGAGTGCTATATGACATACATTCTGTATCTCAAAGACTAGAGCTAATAAGGGAAAACCGGTGACATTTTTGGAGTCAGAAGGTCAAATATACCCAGAAACAGGTCTAACATTTGAAGCACCAAAATGTGTGTTGAATAGTGTTATGGGTTTAGACTTATAGGAATTATTGGCTTGAATCAATCAACAAAACATCTCCCTTTTACCCAGGATGGGACATTCTCTTCCATCATATAGCAAAATTTATAAAATCAAAATACAAGAACCTATGCGTAACTTTTGGGCAAGAATGCATAGTTCTTAGATTAGGTAGATTCAGGTGGATCCTGTTGGAAGAATGCTGGTGCCAGTATGAATAACTAGCTGTGGAAATCTTGGAAGACATATTACTACAACAATGCTTATACAGCAGACCTAGGCAAAAATGTACAGTAAAGTGGTCGGGAGACAAACATGACTGGAGAAAACAGGATACAGTGATGTTCTTACTGACAAGCCAAACTTAGAGTCATATTGATTTGGCCAGTTTTCTAATGGCATGTCAGCTGATTAGAAAGTAATGGTTGCCCTTCGTAGGATAGCCTGCCAATATAAGAAAAGGAAGGGAAAAGTCCAAGTGTGGTTCTGAATTCTTATTACTGGTATGCAAAATAAGTTGTTGCTGGTTCTGTATTTTATACTAAAACTTGGTGATGTCATTCTATTTTGGTTATTAACTTTACTTTTTCAACTGATACCCTTTGGTTAAGTAATAGAGCTTAAATATTAAGGATTATGGTTGATTAGAACTGAAATGACAAGTGGGAGGAAACTACAGAGGTACAGAGACTAACAGAGAAAGGAATGTCTGACTCTGGGCTGTGATGGGGTGAAATTCACTTTATGTTGATTCCTCCTCTCACTACATCAGAGAAAAAGGAACTGAGAAAGCTAAAGTACAGTAAATGTATTTAGGAGAAACATTTGCTCACTTGCTCAGTCTTTTATTATGGTCATACTTCCAATGCAGCTGAATGGATAAATAGTCCTAACTTCCTGAGCAAAGTTATCAAGTAAACTAAGGAAACTCTTAAATACAATAAACCCACTTCTGGTCTTAGGAAATGCAAGATCTTGTTAGAAATCCTGAGGGTGAGATCATACATACATTTATAATGGGAGCATGTAAAAAGTAGGAATGAAATGTGTACATGCTTCAAATAGTTCAAGGCTATGATTGGTATACTGTAGACACAGTTAATTTGCAGAAACAGAAGTGTTACAGCTTATTGAGATTTGCCTACTCTCACACAAATGCAGGTATATTTTACTGCTTTTACTGCTTTTATGCTTGAAATGATTTGCCATAGAATATGCTTATATTCAAAAGAAAAAAGATTTCAAACATACGTTAAAAAGCACTAAGGAAAATGAGATCGACAGGTTAAGATCTCAACTTGTTCTCAGACCAAAAGCAAAAGAAATCGTGGCAAAAGTATGATAGCTGGGACCCAATGCTGGTTGGGCTGTGCAGGTCAGAATTAGAGAAGCAAAGATGTAACGTATTTGAACGTTTTTGCATACAATATCCGGATAGCCTTAAGCACTATGCTTGGCTGTTTGTCCCCCCCCCCTTTCTGCCTCCCCCCTTTCTGGCGAGCTATCTTGCCACGATTCTGCCGTACCTGAGTCTCTCACTCACTGTGCTGTCTCGGCATTGGGTCCCAACTATCATACTTTTGCTGAAATCGCAATCTCCTAAGCCTCGACACCAAACAGATGTCAAGGCTTAGGAGTTGGGTGTCTAAAACTAAAACCAATTTGTATCTCATTGTGCCATGAAAAAATAGATGGGAGGGAGTGTGCACAAATGTAATTCTTCATACAATCTAGCATTTCAGTATATTTTTCCAGTAGCAATATTATAAATCTATAACTTTGAAGCTAAAGCACACCTCCAGACTTTAGCACTGACATTCACTTACCAAGAGTACAGAATAGTTCCAACAACTGAGGTGAGTTTGCTGTTTTCCTGTTTTTGCTTTGCAAGACCAAAGTCAGCTGGAATAAAGGGGAGAAAAACTTCAGGGAATAGCAACTGAAAGGTGGAAAATATTGGCTCCTCCTCTTCATCTTTATACCAACCAGCAATAGACCAGATTATTTATTCATCTTTCATATATTCCTGTGCTCTTAATGAAATATGGTTTAATAATATTTATCCATTCTTGATTTTTAGGCAGCAGCTGTTTATAATATCAGTTTATAACACTATATTTCCTGATGTTCCTGATGATGAATTGAAATGAAACATGATTGAAATTAAAATTTAAATCCATTTATGTAGATTAGAATGGGATTCATGCCAAGTCCAGAAACATATTAACTATAGAACTTGTTTAAGCAATTATTGATGTATATCAGCTACTATTTTGGCAACACCTGGAAAGAAGGGATTCCTTAAAGCTAAATCCTGAGTTAATCTAGCAATTGTGATCTTTGACAAGGTCCCTTTAAAATATTGTAATTGTCAGTGGGCTTTGTCAGTGACTCATTTCCAGGACAATATTAAATTAGCTCTGTCTGGATGAGGAGAAAGAAAGAGAGGCCAGGCAGGTGATCTTCCCCAGTCTATAGGAACTGGACCTTCTGCAGCGGTTCTCAAGCAGTGAGCCCTCAGGTGTTTTGGCCTACAACTCCCAAAAATCATAGTCATTTTACCAGCTGTTAGGATTTCTGGGAGTTGAAGGCCAAAATATCTGGGGACTCACAGGATGAGAACCACTGTTCTACAGTTTGACCATTTGAGAACCAGAAGCACTACGTCAAAGGGAAGTTTTATACAATGCAGAACAGTCTTGCATTCCGCCAACTCAAATTATCATGAGATGTCATATCCTTCCACATCTTGAAATGGGTATGCACAGAATATGTCTACTGCCCCCAAACATACCCTCACAATATATTCACCTCCTTAAAGCTTCAATCCTACGAAAACTTTCTGGAATTCAAGTCTTTTTTTTCTTTTTTTTTAGAAAAAGAGAGCAGAATTGGTTTTAGTAAATAAACACACAGTCAACTGTATTTAAGAAATGGAAGATTAAAAACAAGATGGCAAACCCAGCCATGATGAGATTAATAGAAGATGGAGGAATGTGGCAGAGCTGGGAATAAAATACAGTTTTCCATTTTCTCATGTTGTCTAAGCCATCACATGTTCCTTCCATTTCGTTCAAATTAAGCCATACTGACCTATTAGTTAATCCAAATGTCAAAATTTTAAAATATCATTTTACACTGAACCATGCTCAACAACACGTTTATTCATTTTTTAAAAGTCAAAATGACAAATACATGCTCTGGGCTGGATCTCATATTTGTTTCTTATGATACACAGAAATACATAGTGAAGAAAGAAAAATGACACCAAATCAGGAATTTGCTGTCCAGAGGGATTGCTCCTCATTTTGTTGTAACAGAAATTGTCCTGCTATTATTTAAAAAATCACAGCAGATTTTGAGTTTTAAAACATTATCATTCTGATTTATGATGAGGTTGTTTTATGTCTCCTGACCTGTTATTTCCTCAAGTAATATTCAGTAATAATACAACAAACTAATTGCAGTAATATTTTAGGCCCTCTATAAAACATATTAAAATGCCCTCATCATCCAATATTAAACACATTCTAAAAGGATAAAAAAGACATGTAGATGCAAAGAGAAACGGGAGATAAGCCATACATAATTTACAACTAATATAAAAAGTATAAAAAGTAATAAATTATAAAAAATAATGTTGGCTCCCTCAAATAAATTGATATTACCAAATAGGTTTCCATAATTTCTGTCCATTAATTTAGTATATTGAAAGGTTGGAACAACAGAGGGATTATGTGATTTTAATGTTAATATTAAGATGTTTTTTAATTCTATGTTTTCATTGTCTAAATGTTTCTATGTTCTGCGTTTAATATGATTTTAATGATTTAATTTAGTAATTTATTTTTTGTTATTATGCTTGGTTATATGTGTGTGTGTTGGCATTGAATCTTGCCATTACTTGATGTACAACACTTTGATTCCCCCCAAGGAGTGAGTAAAGCAGCATATAAATGCAGTAAAGAAATAAACAAACAGCTCAAATTCAACAGTTCTATTGCAGATGTGGCCAAATATTCTGTGGTGTTGGCCTTTTGTCAGTTATCTATTAATGGAAAGAGACAATAAAAACTCGTTATCTGTGAAGTTGTTTTTTTTACTACACTTTAACAGCTTTTGTAACACCCAGTGTATACTACCTACATTCTAATCCATTTTGGCAGAAGAACAAGATCCAAAATTAACGTGCCTGTCTGTCCTGCTCAAATTTACAAAATCCAGACTTATTGAACCACCTGCCAAGTTTCTGATACCTTCCTTGCTGATGTAGTTTCAATTAGTAAACCATTTAAAATAGGACCATTCTCACAGGAGGCTTTCTGATTGGTTCATATGAGGATCCTGTAAGTTTGTTCAACACCAAATTCAAGTTCCACACAGGAAAGTAGTAGACTATTAGACAAGATGTCATTGCTGCACTCCTTTGAGGTGTTTTTTAATGGGAGCATCCCGAAAGTGGGACTTCATCAAACTTTAAAAAAAACACTGACAGTGCAGAAACATGGTATTTCAATGGGCTTGATTTCAAAGTCTTTTGAAACCCATGCTGCAAAAGTTGTAATACATGTCTCACTTGCTCCGATTTCCAGCAGACGAGAATTTTCTACTAACATTAGTTCTTGTTTTGTCTGTATTCTTTGTCACTGGAGACAGAAAGTATCTGCTTATCAGTTTCTTGTTGAACATAATTTTTACACTTGAGTCATTAAAGGAATGACCCATTGGTCTGATGGAAAGTATCTGGAAAACAGCGACCTTTCTCCCACCAGTGTACTCTTCCTGACTATATCAAGATGTACTCCTTTGGGGCGCTAATCTTCTTCCTTTACCCTGTCTACTATACTTTCCTATTCAACCAAGCTGAGGACATTGCCATTGAAACATGAAATCTGATTGCTCACCATCTCTTCTTTTTCCATGAAATGAAGATAAACATTTTTAAAATTGTCTTCTATCCAGACTCTTCCTCTACATTGTAGACATGACCTGTTTCCTCTCCTTACTCTTTACCTATACTTTCTCCAAGGCCTGTTCCACAAAGAGTAATTCTCTCTTGAATGAAATATAGGGCATATTATTTCTAGATTTCTAGTGTGCTTCCTAATGACACAGCTACAGTGATCTCCTTGCTACTGGTACATTGATATGAGTTGCAGGAAATGCAGTTGAATTATGTTCTACATATGCCACATATTCTAAAATTTTCTGAATGCTACTCAACACTTTATGGAAAGCATGTATACTCAAATCCCAACTCTCCATGGTCTCTTGCACCAATAAAATCACTGCTTGAGCAAACATAGGAATAACCTCTAATGCCCTTATTGCTAAAGCTTCATGCTCTTCATTCAGGACAACCTCAGTCCTCCTCTCATCTACTTCCTTAAGAGCCATATAACCTTTCCTTGGGATAATCGCTACAGAAATAAGAGCAGCTTTCATCAATAACATCATTCTCCATTGTTATATCCTGCCAATCATCCTGTGTTTCAAAACTTACATCCCTGTGTGACAGATCCGCATTTTTGAGCACCTCATTGGGTCTGCATCTACAACTATTTCCCCTTTTCCACTTTTTCCTTTTTAAACTCTTATTGCCAGATATCCCCTTTCTTTGAGAACTCATCTGTTGCTGTAACCCATTCTCATACAAATTCATAATATTTATCAAATCATTGCATTTATTGCATTCATATGCAAGTGTCAATGTCTTGGGTTCAAATTCACTGGATTAATATTTCTAAATTCATTGCTATGCAGTACCAACTGATTATTACACCCTGAAAAAATAGTTGTTAGCTCATTATTTACTGCTTCTCTGGTCATGTATTAGAACGCTGGAGTAGTATGAGGATTTACATTCACTTTGGAAGCAGAGGGATTTAGATTAATTTGTGTAGTACTGGCATTCAAATTAACTCTTACCTCTGTGGACATATTGTCTGCCTGATCACACCAACATTTACAGTTCTACCCTTGCTCCCCAAGACTACAGAGACACCCAGCTGGTACATCTACAAGCATTGTCTTAAAACAGCTCATAAATCCAGTGTCTCATGAATCCCTGGGAAATATATCAAATCACTTTCTTGAGAAAGTGTCTGTGCTCCTGTATCATTGTTTCAAGTCTGTTGATAGTTGTGAACTGCTACCATAGGTCTACCCTCAATTTTGAAATCTAGAATTTCAAGGTAGAGGTTGGAAGTGACCTTCCGAAATTTTGTGCTGCAACATTTCTCTTCAACATTGAAAGAAAAGTAGTACTAATTTTGCTAGTTTGCTTTTTCTTTTTTTCTTTTTTTGATGACTTCATAAGACCCATAGCTTCTTTCACTTTTAAAACTTGCCTGCGCTTACATTATTCCCTACGCTCACAGTCAGAAATCTATTTAAAATCGTCTAACTGAAATGCGCTGTTTGAAACACTCTGTAATTTTGCCCTTTTTTCATCCTCAGAGATCCACTGGCCTGTGACCACCTGGGAACACTATGTTTTTGTCACATCTCCCAGTCTGTTCAACAACCATGGGAACAACATCGTATTTATTTTTAACCTCAGTTTGTTGCTTTTTTATGTCCATGGAAACCCCTCTCTGGTCCACTTTAATAGTAATAATAATAATAATAATAATAATAATAATAATAATAGGTTTTATTTATTACCTGCCTCTCCTGGTGGCTCAAGGCGAGGTACAACAAAGTAAAAAACATATGAACATAGAATATATACCAAAAATTACACAGATTAAACACAAAAATATAAAAAATTACACTAAACATAGATACAGAATTGACATATAGTAGCAATAGAATGTAAATTAAAACTCAAGATTGAAAGTTGGCTGCGAAGACCTGCCGGAAGAGCTGGGCCTTCAATTGCATTTTAAATTCTGACAGCT